AAAAAAAAAAAAAACTGAAATACTTAGCCCTCCATAACACAGAAGTTTATACTCACGAGATTGATGATCATTTTTTGATAATTCAGGACTGGCATCTTCTTCTGGGAGTCTGACAAAAATAAATGTTTTATCTTGTATTGAGACAGGGAATATTGCACTATCAGAGATATTCAGCTCTGCATCAAATTTCGGAAACTGGCGTCTTGAGATTCTTAAATAAAGATAAAACAAAACACCAAGAACATTAGTATCCAAAAATGTGTCTTCATATATGATCAGAGATAATGTCATTACAATAACTAATATCTGATAATAGATAATAAACAGGGTAAAAAGGCTACCCATAGATGCATTATAAATAGTAACTGACTTTTAAAATAGAATTAGCAAGACCATATGTTACAGTTATCAATCAGTCCCTTACCCCTAGCAAAATAAAAGCATTAGGAAAAATTGTCAGGGAATTGACTAAGCACCATTCTGAAACCCTGACCTACTCTTCTCCAGAACGCAAAAGAACCACACAACATAGGTACTATCCTCATTTCACAGGTGAGCGACACTAAGCTTCGTCAACCGCGCTGGGTGGCCCAAACTCAGAGGTAGAAGGCAGGGGAGCCAGGAGGCAAATCCAGGCCCACCTGGCTCCATATCCTTTTCTATTTAAGCTAATTTGGACTCTTCGGGGCCCTTCCCGTACATTTCCATCATACTCCTTCTTTTCTCCTTTTTTCTGTGTACATCATGTACAAGGCCTCATTTTCCCAGAGGAACCAAGTATCTACATCTTCTCTTTGCTGCTATTCCCTCCTCATCCTTCTTTTGTTCTTTTCTTTCCCCAGACCAGCACATCCTATCAGAAAACAGAGTAAGGGGTAGGTGCCTGTCATAGTAGAGTCTCCCCTTGGTTATCTGGAAGAAGACTACTCCCTGAGAAGACCCAACAGCAGCCTGGCCATCAAGGGTAGTGGTACCCTCGATGCTTCCTGCCTCCTGGCACAGGCCTTGCGGCCCTTGTTTTAGAGGCTGGTCACGGCTGTCAGGCCCTTTGCTCCAGCTTTCTTGTGTCTGCCCACTCGGGGCCTCGGAGAACGCAAGTCACAGCATGTCTGTGGCATCAATACCAGCTGGAGCCATTATCGAGACAGACGGTCAAGGGTGTGAGGCCCCATCCGCCAGCTGCCCGGGTGCCTGAGGTGCAGCCCCTCCCTGGGCGGTTGGGGTGGGTGGGTGAGTGGGCAGCTCCCCACCTATGACTCACCCACAGGGCTGCCAGGCCTGGGCTGGGCAGGTGTCCAGAACCAGCAAGAGCAACCCCAGATAGGGAGCAGGACTTAGGAAGGACCAGTCCAATCTCCCCCTGGCGCAGCCCACGGGGACTTCCTGGCAGAAGCAGCCTTCCAGCCTTTGAAGGCTAAGTTTGGGGCTTATTCAACCTTTCCCAACAGGGTTGAAAGGGAGGAAGGAGGCTGTCCCTGCTGGAAATATCGCAGATCCAATGTTCTGGATTCTGAGAATCACCATGGACTTCCTGTTTTGCTTCTGGCCCAGGACACGTAACATACCTCTGTCTCTAGAAGCCTTTCCCTGGTGTCACCGGGATCATTCTGTCATCAAATATTTGGTGACAATGATTAAGAAGAAATGATGAAAGGAGCACAGCTCAGCCCAAATGATACCAAAAGGGTTACTAAAGGAATTTCTAAGTTTATCTAACTTTATCTAAGTTTCAGATAAAGCTGAGTTCTAAGAAATCTAATATGCTTTAGATTCTTCCAAGATTTTCAGACTTCAAAATGACCAATCATCTACCAACATCCCAAAAATGAGGTGGCCTTTAGGTAGGAGCAGAAGGGTTATAGGAAAAGAATATTACACATCCAACTGCATTATTTTTCTTAATGTCTTAAATCAGACCTACATCATCTACCCTATTCCTGTCAATTCTTCCTCTACTCCCACTGTCCTAGCCAGGGCAGACAGGGCCAGAGAGAAAGCAGGTTCTGAGCGTTCTAGCTTCTGCTGACATCCAACCAAGGAAATGTTCAAGCGACAAAAACAACATCTTGTAAAAGAGAGTCAAAAACAAGGATAAATTTTGGCCCAATGAATAAAACAGTCTGTTGGTATTCTGAGGTCCCATTCTATCTATTACAGAGGATCACTCTAAAGGCTCATGCAAAGACTAAGGGAAGAGGATTCTCTTCTACTTTAAGGAGAGTAATATGCCCTGGGTGCCACTAGGATTTACCAAGGAGTGAATTACCATATTTATTTGTTTTGCTTTGGGCTCCCCTTATAGAAATTAGAGGAAATTTTGTCCCCACTTCTCCCCTGAACTCTAATAAACTCATTTCTAAGTCTCTGCTCCCCCTGGGCTTATCCTAGTCTCTAAGCTTGATGCAACTTTAATTCAAATATACACTTTTTAAATCAGGAAAACACAGTCATTCTTAAATTTCAATAATAATTTATGCTGGACCAGTAATGAAAAATATTAACTTTGTTTTTCGAACCGTGGGGCAAAAGGTGTGTGTGTGTGTGTGTATATATATATATATATATACACACACACACACACACACCTTAAGGACAGAATAGGTTTGCTAAATGTACTGCACTGAATCACCCTAACTCTAAATCTAATATGTATGTTTTTACCTTTCATTTCTAATCCGACACAGAGAAAATGTAAAATTTTAGTCATATGATACCTTGTAGCATTGTCCACAATGAGCTCAGATTCCGCTCTATGGTTTGTCTTTAGTTCAATAGCACAATTTCTTGGCTTAAGAGTCTCAAAAAGATCTGTCAGCAAGTTACCAGGTTCAATGCTGGGTAACTGCCTAATATCACCTAAAAGTAAAAAAAAAACCACAGACATAGTAGGTTTTAGGTAACTGGGGTCCTGAAATTTAGAAATTATTTTTATTTCTCCCTACTGCTACATGCTATAAAGACTTACTCTAACTGAGAAAAAAAGCCCAAAAAATCTTTGTCTAAAATTACTTAAGAACATTAAGTCTTTAAAAATATTTAACAACAAAAAAAAATCAAATTAAACAATATAAGATGTAAAAAATAGTGAGATCACAATCAGGTAAAATCTGAATTGAACTTCTGCCACACCTGTAACCACAGGCAAACTGGGCAGAGCAAGTGCTTTAGCCAACATGTAAAAACCAGGCCTTGGATATGTACTATTTAGTCACTTATTGACCTTGCTCAATGTCTTACTGAACAAGGAAGAATCTACGGCCTCAAATAAATGAACATATAAAATATAAAACAAACAATGCATTTGGTAATAGACACATTCCAGTAATGTAATGATACTGTTCTGCTTTTTACTTTAAACAAGCAAACCAACCCTAGAGATAAGAAAAACCATTTTCTGGGTGGAAACTGGGAGAATGGTTAAGCCGGTAATAGAATCAACTGCTTATAAAATATCCTCAAATACCTAAAAAAAATTTATATACAATTGGACACTCACATTGCAATCCTAGTTTTCTCCATTAGATCAAAGAGTCTACAGAGCACCACCACTCAATAGAGTCTAACTGAATCTCATCAGAACTGGAAAGGGTTCAAGAGGCTGGTGAAGTCTAATTTGAGTTATTAGCTTAAAATCATAAAATGACTTTTAAGTGGCCTATAATTCAGACTCCTTACTATTTCCAAACGATCTGCATCCTGATTTACCCTGAGTCTGTGACATTTTTACTATTTTAATAGTCATCATCTAGATGAGCAGTAACCCTCGTCACTCTATTCCATTCACATCCCAGCCTGCTAACATCCCAGCCAAAGCAAAGAGCCGCCCAAGCTGCCCAGGAGACGGGGCAGACGGAACTCGGGGCAGCGCGGGCAGGGCTCTGAGCATTGGCTTCCCACCTGTAGCACGCGGATATGCAGACAGTGAAATGCAATAAACAACCTACGAACCACAGTGCTGCGAACTGGACGATTCAAATTCCAACAATGTGTTAACTTACCAAGGATAATAAGCTTAGAAAGTTTGGAGTGCTCACACAATAATTTTAGAACCGATTTGAAGATTCCCACAGATACCAAACTCCCTTCATCCACAACCAGAACTTTAACCGAAGAAAATTTCCATGGCCTTTCCGCCATTTTTGTCTTCCATAAATAGAAGCTATAATTGACCTACAAGCAAAGTATGGCATTTCTAAATTCAAGTTATAAAATTTACATAAGAAATAAATTTAACATGTTATTTTAAAACAAGACTTTTAAATGGCTGGGGCGGCAGGATGTAGGTGTAATAACATAGAGAAAAGGCTAAAAAAATAGAGAACAAAAGTTATAGGGATGAATACACAGAAAAGATAGAACAAATACATTAAAAACAAAAAAAGGTCAGATAGTTCAAAAATTGCTTCTTAACGAGTATTTAGTGTGTTTAACTTAACAAGCTTCGTGCACAGCCCTATCCACTGCAAAAATCTCAGCCCTTCTCTTACCACTCTTGACCACAGAAAACTCCCCAGAACTTTAACAGAAAAGACTATTCCCAGGCCGGCCCTGTAGCTTAGCGGTTAAGTGCGCGAGCTCCGCTACTGGCGGCCTGGGTTTGGATCCCGGGCGCGCACCGACGCACCGCTTCTCCCGCCATGCTGAGGCCACGTCCCACATACAGCAACTAGAAGGATGTGCAGCTATGACATACAACTATCTACTGGGGCTTTGGGGAGAAAAAGGGAAAAAAAAAAAAAAAAGGAGGAGGATTGGCAATAGATGTTAGCTCAGAGCTGGTCTTCCTCAGCAAAAAGAGGAGGATTAGCACGGATGTTAGCTCAGGACTGATCTTCCTCACACACACACACACTAAAAAAAAAAAAAGCTCAGGAAAAGACTATTCCCAAACAAACCCTCTGCTCGCCTTCTGAGATAACCCACTTACTGAGGGCCTCCTCTTCTCCCCACCATAATACTCCATTCTAGAAATAAAGGGCCAGCCTAACTATGAAAATACTACATTTTCTTCTAGAATTCCAAACTCTCTTACTTCCCCAACATTTAAAAAACCACCACCAACAACAACAATAAAACAACTAAAAAAACTATTTATTATAGAGGTAATAATACTATTTAAAAAATATAGATGGGGAACAAAATTTGTAAAATTACAACAGAGAATGTTAAATATTTTGGCGTATGTCATTCCAGAAATGTTTCTATGTTCTAAGTGTGCATATCTATGTATATACAGATGTTTTAAATGGTATCATATCTTTATTTAATTTTCCTACTGAAACTCGACTCAATATATCTATTAAGTAAAAGCCTTCATATTTCGCATCCAAATGCATCAATTCCCTGCAACTAAACCTCCCATTCTCAGTGGCCTTGTCTCACAACAGGACATTTGGAATCCCCACTAACTGCTTCCTTTCTTTTATTGTACATATTCAGTTAGTTATCTTAGAAACGCCTGACTGACACTTTCCACTGTATTTCTAGTGCTACCAACTCAACGCAGGCCCCATGGATGAGCATCTAGATTACTCCAATAGCCTTATAGCCAGGTTCCCCTCACCCCAATAACCCAAAGTGGGACTGCCAGATAAAACACAGGACACCCAGCTAAATCTGAGTTTCAGAGAAACAATAAAGGACTTTTTAGTGTAAGTATGCTCGATGCAACATTTGGTACTTACTCAGCAGATCTGCTAAATCTGGTAGCCCTAGCGCAAGAATGACCAATAAACGGCGTTAAGAGCCACCTCAGCGCTCTCCTTGTGCCTTCGCTCCCTCCCGAGCCTAAACGTGACTTCAGAAATGTTCTCCCAGCATCCCAAGCAGACAGTAAGATGCCACCAATTGATCAGAGTTGGAACATAAGAAGAAATGCAGTAACGATCCCTCCCTGGCCTCTCCTTCTACTTCAATCCTTCAGACTCATCAGACATGAAGGCACAGTGGGAAAAATCATGGACTCATCAGGAGACTCTACCACCAGCGAGCTCCACTGACCTCCTCCAGGTCGACATCCATTCACGAGATAAATCAAGGAAAGAGGCAAAGTAACGTCTGAGGTGGCTCACGGCTCCATCCTTCTATGTTATCTTCCTTAAAACTACTTTCTTCACTTCACTCTCTTGCTTGGGAACCTAAACAGCTCCCTAGGAAATCAAGTCCAAGCTTCTTTAAGTCTGCAAGGTCTACATTAAATGAGGAAATTACGGCACCATGAAAAGAGCAACAAGCTGCCAGGTCAGAAATCTGAGTTCAAGGGCTAGTTCTGCATCGACTTAAGATCTTGGGCAGGCCGTTTAACACCCCCAAATTTCAACTGGCTCTCTGTAAAAGGAAAATAACATTACCCACCCACTTCACTGGTTTACAAGGATTCAATGAGATATCAAAATACTTTACAAAGTTTAAAGTTCAAATTCCCAGTCTAAACCAAGTTTAGTTTCCATTATTTTTCAATACAGACTTCATTCCAATCAATGCAGTCATCTCAAAACCCTCTCTACACGCTATGATCACTCTCCTCAATGCCGTTGGAGAGGCCTTTCCCCTGAATATAAGGCCTTTCTCCTCACCAGAGCCTTCCTGTCCTTCAGAGTCCCATTCAATTATTACTTCCTTCAGAAATCTTCCAACGACTAAGTTCCTCGATCTACAGAATGACAGGTCAGGGCGAGAGGACCCTAACTCTTTACAAGTTTAAAACTCCATGACTCTTAACCAGCCCAAACTATTTTTTTCAAGCATGTTAATTCATTTGAAGTTTTTATCATGTGACTATTTGCCAGGCACTGGTGCAAGGCAAGGAGATAAAGAACTAAACCAGGTGATCAAAGTCCTCACTTTCATTCTACAAAACATAAACCTTTCTTTTCCAACTCCAGTGCTTTTCAAAATACGGTCTGTGGACTGTGACATGTTTGTAACCAGTCCCAATGAGAAACAGAGCTTTGCCAGAAACAAAACAAACTACATCACTGAGCATACACTGTAGTTTAGCTGTTTTTTTTTTTTAAGAAATTGATTCTTTTTTTTTTTTTTTTTGTGAGGAAGATCAGCCCCGAGCTAACACCCATGCTAATCCTCCTTTTTGCTGAGGAAGACTGGCTCTAAGCTAACATCTATTGCCAATCCTCCTCCTTTTTTTCCCCCAAAGCCCCAGTAGATAGTTGTATGTCATAGTTGCACATCCTTCTAGTTGCTGTATGTGGGACGCGGCCTCAGCATGGCCGGAGAAGCGGTGTATTGGTGTGCACCCAGGATCCGAACCCGGGCTGCCAGGAGCAGAGCGCGCGCCCTCAACCGCTAAGCCATGGGGCGGGCCCTGACTTTTTTTTCATAATAAGACTTTCTCAATGAAGGGAGCCATGCACTGATGTTCTCTCTGGCATTAGCTCCTATCTCACTGCAAACCAGTAACAGTTTACAGACTCGCTGTTGTGAGGGACACTGACCTCAATGATCAGCTGCTACATGGCAGGGATCCAGAAGACATTCAATAAATGCCTACCGATTGTCGTCAGGAAGAGATGAAAAATAAACTCTAAAATAAAGTTTGTTATTAAGGCAAGTGTTTTATCTAGAAAGAAATGTAAAAGGTTTTACCTGATGTAGTGTATAAGCGTTAAAACCAGTTCTCTGTCTCAGCAAGCCAGCTGCTCTCCCTGTGGGTGCTGTAAGGAGAACTTCTATAGCCTTGTCCGCCTTCAGTGGACTCTGCTCTATAAAGGTAGGCCATTCTTCAGAGACATCCTGGTCTTGTTCAAAATCTTCACACACTTTTTTCACTTCGCTTTCTTCCAACAGCTCTATGTGCTTAAACAGGTGGCTGACAATTGTGGTCTTCCCACAACCACCCTTCCCACTGATGACCGTCACAGCATTGGAGCAAACCATCTCCAAAGCAGCCACCTGATCCGGATCCAGCTGAACTTCACTTATTTCTGCATTAACTTCATTTTCACCATTATCCCAAACATGGTCACCGCTGTCCTGTGTGTTCCGGTTGTCCACGGAATTTTCTAACCTTGCTTCATCCGGTTCACCTTCATTCAACATATCATCACCTCCTGAATCCTCAGGTTCTGTGGTGTGAATGGACGCAAGCACCTTTTTGATATCAACGTGTAGACGCCACGGAGGCCTGGTCATGAGGTCACACACGGAAGAGGCGATGCCTCTCTCAGCCTGGTAAAGGTCGTAAAGAAAGACACAGGCCTTCTCATAGGTCACCACACCAACATCCTTCAGAAACCGCAGAGACTGCCAAGCACCCTCAACAGACATACGGTCTGACAACAGACGAGTCAAGTCAGCTTCTTTCACGTACGTGTGCCCGTGCTCTCTACATATCTGCTTCAGTTCAGAATATATTATTAAGGCATTCTTCTCCAAATCAGTCATCAACCGGAGAAGAGCCTCACACTGACAAAATGCCGCCCAGCTTGCTTCACATCGCAAAAGCTTCAATTCTCTGCAGGTTATCTTTAAGAAAATCAAGTTCAAGTTGCTTTATAAAAATTATAAACGTTGATGAGTATTATTAGAATTACAGTAAAAACTACGTTATTTGTTAATAATTTTTTAAGTCCCAGAAGACCTGTATTTCAACTAAATTTGGAGAAAAACTATGTACATGTACCTAATACATCACTAACTTTTTTAATTGATTCAAGATCTCTATAATTTTTTAATTAAAATTACATTTTCTCAAAACAATACACAGTTTCAAAAGTCAAATAACACTAAGAGGCTTATCACAAAAAATAGCATCCCCTGCCATTCACTTCCCATGACTTCTAAAGGCAGGACCTTCAACGTTTTTAGTTATTTCCTCCAGAATTTGTCTCCACATTTCTAAGTATTATTTATACTATTCCTTGACTTTTTCTTTAATTTTAGATATTTAGTATTAACTCTCTACTATGGAAAGTCTTTCTCTAGGGAAGATCTCTCTTTTACACCATCACCTCCACACATGCTTCTCCTCCTGCCATCTTTGAAAAAAGTAAAAGTACACATTTTGTTAACTGATTTTGGTTAAACTGGTACAAGCAGGATTCACAGCTGAGCGACACGATGTACTATGGTTACATTAACTTTTCTGCAGAATGCATGCGTTAATGAGGTTAATGATTGCCTTGTTTCCTTGGTTTGTCTCATTTTCTATGGGCCTATCAATAATTCAGCCCAAACTCTACAGAAGAGGAACAGAACTCCTTCACCATGACCCACTCAGCAGGTCATCCACCAGCTCCATTTTTTTTCACGGTGACATCCCTCCTGGAGCCCTCCATACATTTTAAGGGCTGAATTGTGTCCCCCAAAATTCCTATGTTGAAATTCTAACCGCCAGTACCCCAGAATGTGACCATATTTGGAGATAAGGTCTTTAAAGAGTAGCAAAGAGTAAAAGTTAAAATGAGATCATTAGGGTGGGCCCTAATCCAACATGACTGGGGTCCTTCCAAGAAGAGGAGAGTAGGACACAGAAGGAAGACCATGTGAGGACACAGGGAGAGGACGACCATCTACAAGCTAAGGAAGGAGGCCTCCCTCAGAAGAAACCAACCCTGCTGACACCCTGATTTTGGACTTGTAGCCTCCAGAACTGTGAGAAGATAAATTTCTGTGGTTTAAGCCCCCCAGCCCATGGCATTTGTTACAGCAGCCCTAGCAAACTAACACAATACCTCAGGAAAAGTTTTTATTCTGGATGATGGTTTACATGCTGAACAGAGGGACTTCAAGTCTCCTTTTCCCACTGGAGTCCCAGAATGCCCATTGCTCTGACTTTCTTCTCTACTGAATAAATATACATAATAATCTAATGTTCCAGAATCTTATTTCTCAAAGCATACTGAAATTGTAGTCATTTTATGTAGGGAACAAAGCCATTATTCAAGTATTTCTCAAACTGGGGAGAAACAGGGGGTCTATAAACATTGTTGGGGATCCAAGAATTATCTCAGAATTTTTTAATTGCATCTTCATTTGGAAAACGACCTATAACTAAGTACTGCCAAGATCTAAGTGCTATACTTGGTTTCAAACACCGCTGGACCTGCATTGTGTCACTTTACTATTCTTGGTCTCTAATAGTAAGAACAGAAGTGATTCGTTTGTAAGTGATATTACTGTGCCAAATAAAAAAAATCAAATGATATCATGATGTACCATATGAATAATGAAAGTCTGCAAATGTTCAAACAGGAAAGTGGGGACTGAGTTGCAGAGCAGAATGGATTTGCAAACCCATAGGAACTTGTGTCTTCCAGGAGCTCTGCAAGTCGCAAATGGTAATTTAGTTACAAAAAAACCCGTCATGTTAAATTAAATTATATAAGTTAATCCATGATAATTTGAATGTCATTTATTTTGTTATTTTGTTTTCCTTTATAAATCTATTGCATGAGAGCTATAGACATAAGAAGTTTATATTTAGTTTTAACACTCAAAGAAAATTAAACCAACATTGAGGTCCATACAAATATTTTTCCGTTGAAAGAGTTGCAAAAGTTGTCAAGCCTGAGAAATCCTGCCTTATATAAGATCACTAAATGCTAAGCAAATGTCTTACTTACTCTATTAAATCCAAGTTTCCATGGATGTGTACTTAAAATCTCTTCTATCTTTTCCAACACCTCTTGAGAACCTGAGTTTACAAGCTGTTTAAAGTGTCGAGGCAGAAGAACTGGAAGGAATTCCATTATTTTTGGAAACTGCAGAGCTGTCATTACATTTCTAAATGGAACTATAGGATATCAGAAAAGAACAAATCAAAACATACAAATGAGCTCACAGAACAACTGATTTGATGAACTTTCTCATTTAGCACAACCAGTTCAAGAAATCCAAATCAAAGAGAGATTAATAAATTTACTTTAACCAGAAAGAAAAATCATCATATTGTATCAATTTCTTTTGTACTGAGATGGTTTTCATTGTGTTTAACACCAAAATTTATGTTCTTTAAATGCTTAGATAACTACTTCTTAGCCTTTTGTTTCCTTTTGCTTGCAAATAATCAGAATAAAATTTTTGACCCAATGATATAAAGGTAAATTCAAAGCTAAGCATAAAAAATAATTCATTTATATATTAGCCTTTATATTCATTTTTCTGACTATAACCATGATTCTTATGTCACTGAAGTCATTCAATGATGTACTGCCAAATCTATATGATATAACTAAGAGATGAAATATTCCATATATGTGAATGTCCAGATAACAAACCATATTAAAAATTTATTTTACACCATTTTGGACTGAAATCTTTCTAAAATGGATTACTCATATTCTTGCCTTTCTCCTCTACCTTCTTAAACAGAATAACTGACAACTAAACTTTTTCTTAATGACTCAAGGTAATCCTACGGACACAAAAGTCAGAGAGAGAGACAGAATCACAGTTTTAGAGCTGCAAAGGAACTGAAAGGAGCTTCAAGATCATCTAACTCAATCTCTTCACATTAAGATGAAGAATCTGGAATGTCAATGACGTACTCCAAAAACAATATAAACACATTTTCATCAAACCGATTTAAAAAAAGAATACTATGCCAACATACTATAGTGGTAATATTTTAAATACACTAGTCATTAAGTATCTCAATTACACTAAAACTTGATGATAAAATCACACTTACTTGAGTTTTCCAGAGGGAGGCTCCTCTCATAATCTGGTAATGACTCCTCCTGTTCATTCTGTGTAGACTGTTTTTCACCATTCCTTCCAATTTCCTTGTGGAAAGTTCTATATGTTTCCCTAAGATTTTCAAAGTTGAGGTCTTCATAGCTTGATACTTCATTTACCCATGCTAAAAACTTAGTTATAATATCACCGGAGACATCACATTCTTTAAGAAAAAGGGAACAGATATGTTGTTGATCTGGTGGGGACATATCAGATTGTAAAAAGTAAGATGGAAATCCTTGAACTTGATAGCACCTCGATCCCACACGCTTTACTTCTACCTTCACTCGCCACCAAGGACCCGTTATTGGAAAACGTCCAAACACTTCACATCGCTCTCGAGTGTTTTCATCCAAAATTACAACTTAAAAAAAACAAAAAAGTTAATTTTGGATATTTTAAAACTTCTTTCCCAATGTTTTATCAAATCCACCACCTCCTTTAATCCCACCACAGCTCCCTGTACAGATGTTTATTGGGGTGTCTACAGTCCACTTCCCTGTTTGTCTGTCTCCCTCTAGTACACTGCAGCCAGCCCTGGTGGTCTAGTGGTTAAGAGTTGGGGCTCTCACTGCCATGGCCTGGGTTCCTGTCCAGGTCAGGAAACCACACCACCTGTCAGTTGTCATACTGTGACAGCTGCATGTTGCTATGACACTAAAAGCTATGCCACCGGGATTTCAATACTGACTTTCATGCGGTTTCTAAAAACTGCCATGAGGCCGGCCCCGTGGCTTAGTGGTTAAGTGCGCGCGCTCCGCTGCTGGCAGTCTGGGTTCGGATCCCGGGCGCGCACGGACGCGCCACTTCTCCCGCCATGCTGAGGCCGCGTCCCACATACAGCAACTAGAAGGATGTTAAACTATGATGTACAACTACCTACTGGGGCTTTGGGGGAAAATAAATAAATAAATAAAAATTATAAAAACTGCCATGGTCCCTCCCACCACAGGGCCTTTGCAAAAGCTGTTCCATCTGCCTTAAATGTTCTCTTCCCTACTGTTTACCTCATTTGGTACAGACCCCGGCTTAACTGTCACTTCCTCAGGAAAGCCTCCCCTGAATCTCATGACTATGACCTCCCACAGCACTACTTACTATTCCTTCTAAGCACTAAGTAATATTACACTTCTGTGATTAAAGAACGTCTCATTCACTATCAGGTAAGCTCCATTAAGACAGCAACCTCATCATCTTATCCCTCCAGGAAATCCCAGCAGCAAACACCTTGCTTGGAACACGGTAGCCAGTCACTAATACTTTTAGGATAAATGACTAAATCCTCCGCACATACCTGAAAATTAATTAAAATTAAATAAAATTCAAAATTCTGCTCCTGAGTTGCACTAGCTGCATTTTCAAGTTCTCAACAGCCACTTGTGGCTGGTGGCTACTGTAGTGGACAGTGCAAATATAGAACAAGGCCACCATCACAGAAAATTCCACTGGGCAGCACTGGTCTGAACACGAAAATATTCTTCAATATCAGTCACAGCGTACACATAACAGGTACAATTTACAGCACAGGAAACCACACAAGGTAAACACGGATCACGACGTAACACAAGTTAACGAACCAACGACTTGAGGTGTTTCCTGTGTGTGTGTTTTCTAGGTAGCTGAAAAATAACCACACATCCGACTCCGGGCAGGACAAGGAGAGAGTTACGAGCCCTGATGCTGAGTGGGAACACAGGCTCGACATCCCCCGTCTCCTCGACGACACAGCGGCCTCAGAGAGTTGGGAACGCGAAATGAGACGATACACGTGGAGCCGCAGCTTGACGCACAGCATCAGCTCCAGGCCCTGCTGGTATCATTACTACTGTCACTTTACCCTCAGCAGGACGAACAGCGAGGCCACCCCAAAGGCAGCCTGCCAGGGCGGGGGCGCCTCCCGCAGGCCAGACCAGGACGGGGGGCCGCTGCGCCCGCGACCCCACCGCGGATCTCGTCCCCGGGCCCCACCCCCGCGCCCCCGCCGGGGCAGGCGCTCGCTCACCGCGCAGGCGCCCCGGGAGGCCGGCCGCCCTCACGCCCCCGCTGCACAGCTCCTCGGCGTCCACGAAGCCGGGGTCGTCCTCCTCCTCCGCATCGTCCCTCAGATAGTCGTCGTCCTCCTCCAGCAGGTCCTTGGGTGGGAGCAGAGGTCCCTGCAGCTCGCGCAAGTGCCCATGCGCCCCCGCCATGACTCCGTCCTCCCAACACGAAACCCCAACTCGGGAAATGAGCGGGCCGGGCGCGGCCAGGCCCAGCCAATCAGCTCCTCGCGGAAGACCGCCAGCTTCCGGGACGGCCCTGGCGCGGCCAGGCTCCGGGGGGGGCGGGGAGGTGGGCGGGCATACGCAGCACGAGGTGGGCGGGGCGGCGCGGCGCGGGGCGGGGAGATGGGCGGGGCGAGGCGGCGCGGGGCGGGGGATATGGGCGGGGCTACGCCGCTCGAGGTGAGGAGATGGGCGGGGCGAGGCCGGGTGAGATGGGCGGGGGCGGGGAAGTGGGCGGGGCTACGCAGCGCGAGGTGGGGGAGATGGGCGGGGCGGGGCGGGGCTGCGAGGGGCGGGGCCGGGCGGAGGAGGGGCGCCTTCCCACCTGCCCGCCGCGGCCGGCCTGGAGGATCCGAGAGGGTCCTGGACGAAACCAGCAGCTGGGCAGCGGCAGGTGTGGCATCTGCAGAACCGCGAGCCTGCGGCGCCTCCGGCAGAGAAGGAAACGCGGGAGAAGGGCACGTCTAGTGAGCCTGGAGAGCAAGCCCTCCCCAACACCCCCAAAAAGGAAACTCGGATGCCCTTCGGGACGGTTGGCCACCGCCCAAAGCACAGGACAGCGAATCTCCAATCGCGACCCCGTCTAGTCGTGACTGCTTTGGGCCTCCTTCTCCTTCAGGACTTGAATTTATATCATCAGAGGCCCTTACTCAAGTCGCAGCTCTTCAGGCCCCATCCCAGACCGCTGTGTCGGAATCCAGGACTGGGAACCAGGACTTTGTCTTTTTAACGCACGTCCCGGGTTGTCCATTTAGATGCTCAGCTGGGTTTGTAACCACTGGATTAGATGACGTTCGAAGTCCTTTTCATCTTTTCCTCTGTGAGTACATCCTGGGATCTCAGACTTCTTCAAGCTGGGCTGCTGCGGGCTCTCAGTGGGAAAAAGCATCTCCGGGATCCCGACAGGGGTAGAAGACACAGGAAAGTGGTTTAAAAAGTTATTCTGGAGCCATGATTCTCATACTTGATGGGGATACTATTTGAAAGTCATGGTGCTCTTTGAGGAACACCATAAAATATGTTACTACATTACTATTTGGATACTATTTATGTAATTACTCTGTTAATAAAAATAACTAAGCATACACTGCTAAATCTAAAAGGATCTTATGCTAGATTCTAATGTAGATAAATAGCAGCCAGCATGAAAGATTTAAGGAAAATTTATGGGTGAAAATACTAAATTTGATTTTTTTTTCCATTTGGGTACAAATGTCCACTGTTGTTGTTTTTAGAAGAACAACTCGCTGTTGCAGCTGACAAAACACCAGTGTTTCCAAGGATCATCTATCCGAGGTTGAGTTCCTTCCTTAAAGCTCCAGGGCTACTGCTACTGTTTCCACCACAACATTGAATCTGCTCTGACAAAGCTCACAGTCTGGGCTCTTTGTGGCTAAATCCAGTGATACCTTTTAGCCTCTGTCTTATTTCACCTCTCAGCAGTATTTGACACTGGTTAACAATTTTCTTCTTGTATCACTCTACTCCTTGGGCTTGTATGACTTGTCTTCTCAGGTTTTCCTCCTATCCCTCTGGCCATTTATAGTTTCCTTGGGCTCCTCTACTGGCCTCTTAAGTAAGGTATTCCCTGGAGTTCCATCCTAAGCAGCCCCTCACTCTATAATCCTTCCTTCAATCATGTTTCACCTACGTGCTAGTGACTCTTAATCTGATCTCCAGACCTGTGCAACAACTGCCTGTTAGATGCCACTACTGGATGCCTCTTGGTTTCTTCAGCCTCAACACATCCAAACTAAAAGTTATCTGCTTCCCGAGTCTGGGTCACTTATGTGTGTGTACGTAGGATATCCTTGTTACCAACGTGATGATTTGAGCACAAGATTCCAAACGTTAAGCTTCTGTTCATATAACTCAATTGCATTCTACTAGGTAGTGTAGGTGAGGATTTGGGATAGTGAGAACCTTGCTTCTTTATCTGTTGTTTTTGCATTTTTAAAACATGTCAATAATTCTAGGTTCCTGAATACCGTTTTTAGAATACACAGTAAGCAACAGCACTCAAACCTGGCTGTGCATCAAAAATCACTTGGGATGTTTCTAAAAATGAGATTCCTTGATGTACCCTGAAGTTACACTTCCACAAACACAAAACAACATGGACATAAGATTATTGACTGTGTAATTTTTGTAATAGCAAATGATTGGAAACAGCAGAAATGGTCATCAGTAAGAGACTTATTGAATAAACTATGGTACATCCACACAATAGAGTATTCTTCAGCAATTCTTTAAAAATTAAAGAAAAATTAAATTTCTTTTTTAAAAAGAAAGTATGGAAGATCTCTATGAACTGATAGAGAATGATTTCCAAGATATTATGTTAAATAAGGAACATAAAGACATAAAACAATGCATATAATTTTATTTATATGTGTGTGTGCTTGCTTTTGCAAAAAAAAAAAAAAAAAATCCAGGAAAGATAACACAGAAATTAATGAAACAGGTTAGAGGAGACAGGGATGGAACAAGACCTCTAAATTTAACTTTTTGTAATGGTTTGACTTCTGAGCCATGTAAATGTTTCACATATTCAAAAAGAAACAAAAAGCAAAACCTAAAATTGAATACAATCAGAAACAAATGAATCTGTCTATCAAATGTATAACATAACCTCTCAGGGAAAATAACTACTTCAAGTTACTTTTGAATACTTTGAATGAATATTTTAAGTTACTCTGACTATACACTCTTAGTAGGTTATATTCTGAGGACAAAAGATCTACAAAGTAATCTTAAACTTCACTCACTATAGTAAATGTTAGTTGCAATATTGGTGCTATAATTTTGAAATTATGTATTGTAGGATAAAGCAAGTAAGTAAATGTATTCATGTTTATCAAATGAAGGTTTTTATGTACATGAAAAGAAATACAAACATAAAATAAAAGTTAAGAAAAACTCCTACAATATTAAACTTGAATGGGAAATATCAATATGAGCTTGTGATTTCCTAAAATATATTCTAGCTCTGTCTACTGAAGGGTCTTGATAACAGTGTCACCCCAAGGGCTCTGATCATATCTACCTCCCTAATCTTGGTTTTGGAATACCATTTCTGATCAAAAGAAATGGAGGCTTCTTGAGAAATGACTGATTCCATCTCTGGGACAGGAAAAGCACAAGGTGGGCCTGGGACTTCTTATTCCAGAAGGCAAGGAAGCACTCAAAAACTGATGGCAGTATGATAAAAGGATTCAGGAGCCCACTTGAAGGGCTTCCCACTAGCCAAATTTAGGGGGATTTGAGTGTCAAAAAGAATAATGACTGCACTTGACTGTAACACACTGAGTAAATAAAAATTGATGCGTCCATTGTGATACTCACTAAAAAAATTTTTTAAATGAAGAAAGAAAAAAGAAAGGAAGAATAGAATGTCAGTTAAGAAATTTAAGAAGAGGGCCGGCCCCGTGGCTTAGCAGTTAAGTGCGCACGCTCCGCTACTGGTGGCCTGGTTCGGATCCCGGGCACGCACCGACGCACTGCTTCTCCGGCCATGCTGAGGCTGTGTCCCACATACAGCAACTAGAAGGATGTGCAACTATGACATACAACTATCTACTGGGGCTTTGGGGAGAAAAAAAGGAGGAGGATTGGCAATAGATGTTAGTTCAGAGCCAGTATTCCTCAGCAAAAAGAGGAGGATTAGCATGAATGTTAGCTCAGGGCTGATCTCCCTCACAAAAAAAAAAAAAAGAAAAAAAAGAATTTCTTCTTTTAAGAAGAAATTCTAAAAATATAAAACACCACTTTGCAATCCCCAATGTAATAACTGATGCAAGCAAGGACCACCAAAGGATACGGAAACCGTAAAGTGAGAAGTCATTGGGAAAATGATAGTCTCATAGCTGTAATAGATTATAAATTGCAAAGGGGAAAATGTACCTTTAAAATGCAGATACTTGTCAGTCACCGCTTATTCGAGTTATCAAACTTAGTGTCATTAATAATGGGACAAACTGATGCTGTGTGTCTCATGCTGTGATGCAATATGATGTACAGAAGATCACTATGAAGTATTCTTGCCAAAAATATTTAACTTGATTTTAATCAAGGCTCTAGACCAGCATTGTCCAACGGAAACATAAGGTGAACCACACATGTAATTTAAAAGTTTCCTGTGGCCACACTAAAAAAAGAAACAGGTCATATGAATTTTAGTGATATATTTTATTTAATCCAATATATCCAAAATATAATTTTAACATGGCAATCAATATAAAAAATATTAATGAAATACTTTCACTCTTTTTTTCATCCTAAGTCACTGAAATCTGATGTGGATTTTGTCTTTACAGCACACCTTAATTTGAACCAGCCACATTTCAAGTGCCCAATGGCCACAAGTGGCTGCTGACTACCACATTGGACAGCACAGTTCTAGACCTAATTCCCAATTTTCCCAAACTCCAAGGAACTGAGGAACAAACTAATACCATGAGGAAACAGAAAGATCTAGAACAGAGGTCAGAAAAGTTTTTTTGTAAAGGACCAGATAGTAAATATTTTGGGCTTTGCAGGCCTAATTCCTACTCCTCCTCCACCTTCTCCCCCACCTCCTCTTCCTCATTCTCCTCCTCTTTTCCCTTTTTGTTCTTTCTCTTCTTTTTTGCAAGCCTTTAAAAATGTAAAAACTATCCTTAGCTCCAGGGTTGTATAAAAACAGGCCATAATTTGCCGACACCTAATCTTACATGTGGGTCATTTGATGAGACAACTGACCTGGATTTTCGAAAAAGTTAATGTCACAGGAAAAAGGGCAGAAAAAAACAAGGCGGGTCCAGGATTGACAGAGGCCAGTAGCTAAAGTCAAGAGTATGAGGAGTGGGTATGAGCTGAGGCTGGAGAGAGAGGTAGGCGGAACCAGAATTCACAGTGATTGGAGAGGCCACAGTAAGGTCACTGAGAAGCCACTGAAGGTTTTAAACAGAGGCTTAACCATTTTTTCCTGAAAACATGATTATTCGTCTCACATAAAGCAAGCTCTCATTTCAATGTCCCCTTGAAATCTATCCTAGGAAATGCTTTTTAAAAAAATTAACTAATCTGAATCAGGAAGCAAAGAATTTCAGTATCTCATTCATATTGTTTCTCATGTAGAACGTTTTTTTCCTATGTGATATATAATGTGTTTTCTGGTTATTTGAAATACATTTGTTTTAGTGTGCCTGGGTGGTATCAAGGCAGAGGACACACAGTGAAGTTATCATTAGTAAAATCTAAACATTTTATTGGGAGTGCAAGGAGGGAACAAGGTTTACTGACCTGTTTGCTTAATGTGATGAGCTAAAGCATGCAATTATAGTGTAGTCATGATAATGATAGCTTCACAGTTATGTGAAAGCACTTCAAATTAATTTATCCTGATGAATGTTTAAATTAGCATTTTGTCTGTTTTATTTGTTAAAGTGGGATCCAAAAGGGAATGGCAGAATTAAGACAAGAAATGAGTTAAATAGCAGCATTACCAAAGAGATTGGTAATTCTATATGGAGCAGAAATTATAATAAATATGTGTTAGCTTTCATTCAGTCAACAGATATGCATATGTATGGCAGGTAGTACTATTGTCCACTGAAACCTGGTTCCCCTCCCTGAGCACACAGTAGGACTGTACTTCCCACCTACTTGAAGTCAGTCATGGCCCCCTGACTTGATTTAGCCAATGAAATGAGAGCAACACGTCACTTCAGGGTGGCAGCACTTAATTTCGGGTGCTCAACTCTCCACCCCAATTGCCGCTTGTCTTGGTGATTGTGGGAATGTGAGGTGAAACAATGAGCCACCGTATAATGGACGACTGCCCTGGAGAGTTATGTTGACCTGCAGTAGCTTTGAACAAATGAGACCAAATCTTTGTTGTGTTAATCCACTACGACTGTGGAGTTGTTTCTCATGTCAACAGAACACCGCCTATCCTTCCTGACACAACACTGATCATGTACTAGACGGTTGTGTTTGGTGGGTACAGTGAGAGACATAAGGAAACAATAATGGCCCTTGCCAACAAGTTTCTATAATTTAATTAAAATATGTAGATTGGGAGTTAATGGGACAAGGGACTGGAAAACTGCACTGGGGGCCTGATTCACAGGAGTTTTGAATGCCAAAACACTGTGATAGCATTGTGTGGTACCAAAATGGATTTAAGGACCCACAAAGAGCTGGCACCTACTTCCATGCTTCTCTAACCAGGAATCCAGATTCCTAGTCGGTAAGTGGTGATATACCAGAAAGGGACAAAAAGACTCAACATAAAAGGCTTTTTGGAGTGTGCAGTTGACTCATGTTATGTTATTTAATATGTTGTTTTTATATTAAAACAATAAGGATGTATTATGTAGAATGAAAAATTGACATAAATTTTTAAGGTAAAAGCTCAAACTTGAAGGTAATTTCACCTTTGGGAGGACAGGTTGAGCAATACCTCAAGACCCCACGAGGTGTTTATGCCTCTTCTTTGCCATAGATGCTTTAGTGGAAATGTTGATGTAATTAATTGACATTGATACTAAGCCCTTGTCTCTAAATATTACAAAGTTATGGCCCCAATCACCTCAACTGCAATTCAATTTAGTTTGCATCATTACATAAGTTTTTACTCAAGCTAAAATATTTGTAGGAGTGAATCCATGCCCTTATGTTTCTGTTTCAGTATATAAATTTTTAAGTCGTAGGAGAGTATGTTGATAAAAAATTGTTGTCTTCTTAAATATATTTTCTAGAAGCTCCTTTCCTAACAAAGATGCCATGATCGAGGTAAGCACGTCAATTCTGCTACCACAGAGAGTGCTGGCGATGGATCCCTAGTTGGCCATCTTTGTGTTTATTTGTCAGGCATTTGATGAAAATTATTGATCTAATCTTATACAATAAGTGAAAAACAGCAGCAAAAATTTGGAAAGTATTAGTAAGAAGAAGCAAATGGTTACAACTCGTGTATTCAGTCAATATATATTTCAAGACAGTTACTGCTGTTCTGGGTACTGGAGAAGAACAGTAGACACAAGAAACCAAGACCCTGTACATTCTAGCGGGAGGAGAGAGTCAAAGAGCAAGTAAATATAAATTTCAATGATGGGGGCCGGCCCCGTGGCTTGGTGGTTAAGTGAGCGCGCTCCGCTGCTGGCGACCCGGGTTCGGATCCCGGGCTCGCACCGACGCGCTGCTTCTCCGGCCATGCTGAGGCCGCGTCCCACATACAGCAACTAGAAGGATGTGCAGCTATGACACACAACTATCTACTGGGGCTTTGGGGGGAAAAATAAATAAATAAAATAAATAAATAAAAAAAAATAAAATAAAAAAAAATTTCAATGATGATGAGTACTAGGAGCAAAAATAAAAGAGATTAAGGGGATAGAGAATGACCGGAGTGGAGATTTGTTATTCAGCTATGGTGATGGATGGAAACAGAGGCAGAGATAATAATAAGTTGACATTGATAAGATAGTGTGTTATGTTGGCTGTGGGATGAATTATTGAACAGAAGGAATGCAAATCAGGGAACGGGTGAGAAGTGTGATGTTTATGCAATATTGCCATAATCAGTAATAGATGAAGAAGATTGATTTCATGGAATAGAGGTATAGATGAGCATGCTGCAATGTCACCCTTGTTGCCGAAGTCAAACTGCCTTCAGATTAGCAGGAGTGTTTTCCTGGATTTATTTTATTTTATTTTTATTTATTTATTTTTTTTTTGTGAGGAAGATCAGCCCTGAGCTAACATCCATGCTAATCCTCCCCTTTTTGCTGAGGAAGACCAGCTCTGAGCTAACATCTATTGCCAATCCTCCTCCTTTTCTTCCCCAAAGCCCCAGTAGATAGTTGTATGTCGTAGTTGCACATCCTTCTAGTTGCTGTATGTGGGACGCGGCCTCAGCATGGCCGGAGAATCGGTGCGTCGGTGCGCCCCCGGGATCCGAACCCAGGCCACTAGTAGCAGAGCGCACGCACTTAACTGCTAAGCCACGGGGCCGGCCCTCCTGGGTTTATTTTAAATGGCTGGAAAATTCCCTCCATTTGTGAAAAGATTCCACGTACAACATCTACTTCTGGCCAAGGACAAAAAAAATCACCAGCTTTTGATGCATTGGAGAAAAGTAAGATATAAAGAACCAGGTTGGAATGATAAGGAGCAAAAAGGGAAGGAACGGCTGAGGAGAGACAGGAGGTAGAATGCAGAAAGAGAGTTACACTGAGGATAGAAGAAGCAAGTGCAGGGCAGTGGAGAAAAGAATCTGAAAATTCTCTTTAAAAAAAAAAGCCATAATGCTGTAATAACACCTCATTTTACTAAATGGTAGATTTCATTAAGGATTACAAAATCTCTGAAATTCCATTTTTGGTGGAAGAAAACAATTTGGAGAGTGCAAAGAGAATGCTTTCACACTCAGAAAATAGAACACTTGTGTATTTTTAACTTCTTCCTGCAAATATGAACAATAATGATGGCTAATTTTTGAGTGTTTGTGCTGTGCCAGTCACGGAGTACTTTCTGTGAATTGACCCATTTACTCTTCACAACAGCCCTCTGAGGTAGGCACCATTAAAATGCCCGTTTTACTTATGTGGAAACTGCGAATGAGAGATAAAATGACTTGCTTACTGCTGGAAGGGGCTGAGCCGGGTTTTGAACCCAGGGAGTCTGGCTCCAGCGCCCATGCTCTTTGCTACCACACGTTCAGACACAGCTCTGAGTTCTCAGTAACTGTGCACACACCCAGGACACACTGGGGCAGGAGGTGTGTGTGAAGAAAATTCCTCCTTGATTTGTTGCCACCTGTTTGTTTGAGACTTGTAAAACATACACTCCTTTGAGATCTTAGAGTAGATTTAAAACAATTGTAAAGATACCACAACATGAAGTCATTAATAAGTGATAAATAGCTCAAATGGCATGGAGGTTACTTATTTTTCACATAGCTGCTGGATCAATCTGTAAGAACTCTATACTCAGGGGTCTAAGATTAATAGCACGTGTGGGGGACATGAATGCTCTTTACCTCTTTCCTGGCTGGCTCTATTTTGGAGAGAGCGTTGTTGGCTGACATCTTCCCCATAATAATTGACCATGACTTCATATTTTGAGAAAAACTACTTCTTCAGAGTTCCCACACTGCTCTTCAAAAAGCCCCACCTGTTGTGTCTTCGCTAAATCGTATCACCGCCCAATGGTGGGGGTCAGCCCAGCTTCAAGGCATTTCTGTAGTGGGGGAATTCACCTAAAAAGATGACACTTGGATATCAGTACATCTAATTAATCCCTAAGTTGGGTCTATTCTTCCTCTTCCTCTAGAATATCTCTTTGATTGCCCCTTCATTACTATGTCACACTCGAGGCCATGGGTGTGTGGGGCCCCACACAAATATTTTTTGCAGGGCCTCTGTCTACATAAATGATTTAAGCCACCCTAAATCAGCATGCCAGTGCCATTCTGGCAGCCCAATCTCACACAACGCTTAAAAAAAAAAAAAAAATACCGCATTGCCCAGTGGGTGTGATTGGCTCATCAGGTCACCCTCCCGGATCCAGGACCTAGCTACAGAGCCCCAGGATGACTGCAGAGACATCAGTCAAGGAATAACTTAGGACATCTGGTCAACCCTACTCTTTGGACAGCAGATGGGAGAGCATCCTGAAAGAGAGAAACTTGGACTGAGTGCACATGGGGCCCCAGTTCTGGCTTGGAGTGCCCCATCCGGATGGATGCCAATCCAGTCTCAGTGGGTCCCAAGTACCAGAGAGGGTCCAAGAAGATCTGAGGAAGTCACTTCAAAGAGTGAGACCGCCTGATGCCTGGGGCCCTTGTTAGGAGCTCTGATTGCCCAAGTCTAAGAGGCACACCAACACCTTATTCTGTACCCTGTCCACCTAACTTATTACAGTGTCCTCCTGGTTGGTCTCAAAACCTCCACTTTGTCTCCTTATGTGTCCACTGTCCTCATAATACAAATGTATTATTAATATTTTCCTGTCTTACTTTGCACTGTGTTTCTTTGTACTGATTTTGTCAAATATGAACTCCTCAGTTGTAGTCCTCACTTAGATTCTAGATCCAGTGCCCCCTCATCTACTCAGAACATCACTCCAGCAATTCTCCCTTCTCTCCTGTATCATCCGTCTTTCTCTCTCAACTCGACTATTTCTATCAGAAAAATGCCATCTTAAATATCCTCTTTCTTGGTCCTCATGTCCCCCACCAGGTGCCATCCCATTTCTTTGCTCTCCTGCAGCAACACCACTTGGAAGAGTTGTCTGTATTTATTTATCCCCTCTTCCTCTCCTCCAGTGCTGACCTGGGCTTTAGTTCAGGTTGTGCCCTGCACAAAGGCATTTTGCAGAGGAGGTATGGGTAGATGCTGAAAGCTAGCCCGTTCTTTGCTTGCCAAGCAGAATGCTTGACACAGGAGTTTGTCATCCTTGAGGAAGCAACAACATTTTGAAATTGATCTGCCCAGAGGGACCACCATTTCCAATTCGCCAGCCTGAAGCAGTTTTCTTTTCCTAATTTGCACAAAGGTCCTCTATGTGCTGATTGCCCTGTTCTCCTGGTCTTTCTTAACCCACTTCAGTCAGACTTCTACCCTCAGCATTCCCGTGAAATTCCTCTGGTCCAAGGTCACCGATGACCTCCACGTGGCTAAATCCAATGGTTAGTGTATTCATGTCCTATGGCTCCCAAAACAAATTACCGCAAACTTAGTGTTTAAAATGACACAAATTGGGCCAGCCCAGTGGCGCAGCGGTTAACTGCGCGTGCTCTGCTTCGGTGGCCTGAGGTTCGCAGGCTCGGATCCCGGGCCCACACCAATGCACCGCTTGTCAAGCCATGCTGTGGCGGCATCCCATGTAAAGCAGAGGAAGATGGGCACGGATGTTAGCCCAGGGCCAATCTTCCTCAGCAAAAAGAGAAGGATTGGTATCGGATGTTAGCTCAGGGCTGATCTACCTCACGCACACACAAAAATAAATAAATAAAAATAAAATGACACAAATTTATTATCACACAGTTCTGGAGGTCAGAAGTTCAAAATGGGTCAACAGGACTGGTTTCCTTCCAGAGGCTCTAGGGGACTATTTGTTCCTTGCCACTAATCTCTCCAACCTCTGCTGCGTCATCACATCTTCTCTGACTCTGACTTGGAACCTCTTGCCTCATTCTTATAAGAACACTTGGGATTACATTGGGCCCTCCTGGACAATCCAGAATAATCTTCCTATCTCAAGATCCTTAACATAATCACATCTGCAAAGTCCCTCTTGCCATATAAAGTAACATATCCACAGTTCTCGGGATTAGGGTGTGAACGTCCTTGGGGGGGACATTACTCAGCCTGCCACAATCAGTTCTCAGTTGTCCTCTTACTTGATGTAACAGCAGTATTTGACACACCTGATCTCTCCTCTACCTTGATACATTTTTGTCCCTTGGTTTCTGGGATGCCACAAACTCTTGGTTGTCTTCCTCTCTCATGGCTGCTGCTTCTGAGTCGTCTCCCTTGCTGGTCTACCCTCTCCCTGACTGCCCAGTCTTTGGGCTCCTCTTCTCTGTCTAGACTCTCTTCATTCAGTCTCATGTCTTTAAATATCATCTATATGCTGTGATTCTTTTTTTTGTTTTTTGTGAGGAAGATTGGTGCTGAGCTAACATCTGCCAATCCTCCTCTTTTTTTGCTGAGGAGGACTGGCCCTGGGTTAACATCCATGCCCATCTTCCTCCACTTTTATATGGGATGCCACCACAGCATGGCTTGATAAGCGGTGTGTCGGTGCGTGCCCAGGATCCGAACTGGCAAACCCCGGGTCACCGCAGTGGAGCACGTGCACTTAACCACTTGCACCACCAGGCCGGCCCCTATATGCTGTGATTCTTAAATTTATACTACTATCTGTACTCTCTTTTGAACTACGAACTTGTATTTCCAACTGCCTGCTCAACACCTCCATTTAGATCTCCACAGACATTTAAAACTAGACATGGCCAACTATGAATTCCTGCCCTTTCTCCCTCCTCAGATCTGTCCTACCTCAGTTGACGGCAACTTCATCCTTTTGGTTGCCCTAGCCAAACTCTTTGGATTCATCCCGGCTCCTCTCTGTCTCCTGTATCTCAGCTCCAATCCATCAGTAAATCCTATGGACTCTACCTTCAAAATACAATAATCTCCCTTTATACACGGTTTCACTTTCAGCAGGTTCAGTTACCGGCAGTCAACCACGAGCTGAAAATATTAAATGGAAAATTCCAGAAGTAAACAATTCATAAGTTTTAAATTGCGCGACACTCTGAGTAATGTGATGAAATCTCCAGCCGTCTGGCGCCGTCCCACCTGGGACCTGAATCATCGCTTTGTCCAGTAGATCCTCACTGGACTGACTCACAGCCCGTGAGTCACTCACTAGCTGTCTGGGTCATCAGACCTACTGTTGCAGTATCACAGCGCTTGTGTTCAAGGAATCCTTATTTTACTTAATCATGACCCCAAAGCGCAAGAGTCGTGAAGGTGGCAAATCGGACGTGCCAAAGAGAAGCCATCAAGTGCAAGTGAAAAGGTGAAAGTTCTAGACTTAATAAGGAAGGAAAAAAATCGTATGCTGAGGTTGCTAAGATCTACAGTAACTTTTATTACAGTATATTGTTATAACTGTCCTAGTTTATTATTAGTTATTGTTGTTAATCTCTTACTGTGTCTAATTTATAAATTAAACTGTATTATAGGTGTGAATGCATAGGCAAAAACATGTATATATAGGATTGGGTAATCTGTGAAGTTTCAGGCATCCACTGCAGGTCTTGGAACATAACCCCTGTGGATAAGGGGGGACGGCCGTACCCAGAGTTCAGCCACTTCCCACCGTCTCCGCTGCTCTCACCCTGGTGTCATTTCTGTGCTAGCCTGCTGCAGTAGCCTCTTAACTGGTCCCCTGCTTCCCATTTTGCTCCCTATAGCCTTTTCTCAACATAGCACCCATTGTGATCCTCTTAAAACAGGTCTTAGTGTCTTACTCCTTTGCTCAAAACCCTGCAGTGGCTCCACATCACACCATGGGGAAAGCGGAAGCCGATGAGTTCCTACACACTCTGCCTCCCATCTCTGGTGCAGACATTCTCTCCGCCTGTTCGCCCCGTTGTTCATTCTGCGTCAGCTACACTGGCCCCTTTCTTGCTACTTGAGCACGTTAGACATGCTCCTGCCTTAGGGCCCTTGCACTGTCTGTTCCCTCTGTCTGGAATACTCTTGCCCAGGGCTCTGTGTGGCTACCTCCCCGCTGTCTTTGAGTCTTTGCTCAAATATCATCTTCTCAATGGGACTTTCCTGTCCACTCTGCCAGAGGCCCTTGGTGGGAATGTGAATCGCTAGAATGTTTTGAAAGTAATTTCATAGTGTCTATCAAAATACATTTACACATCCTTTAATACAGCAATTCCATTTTGGAGAATCTCTTCCACAGAAATAGAAAGTGTCGAAGCACCACTGTCTAAGTATACATTTATAAGGATATTTATTGCACCATTTTTCATAGGCCAAAAACAACCAGAAACAATCTGATTGTTCATCAATAGAAAAATGGTTGAATTAATGATGCTAAATCATATTAAAGAACATTATGCAACTATTAAAAAGAAGGACGTTAGATACATGGTTCTAAGCTGAAGGATGGCAATGCTGCATAATTAAGTGAAAGCAGCACATTGCAGAGTAATGAGTAAAGTATTATTACCTTCAAAAAACAAAAATCCACATAACTGTTTTAAGACCATGAGAAAAGTGTAGCTGGATACCCACTAAGCTGTTAACGTCAACTACCTAAAAGATATGAGAATAGAGCAGAAAAACAATTTACTTTTTCTTGAAACACTTTTGTATTTCATTCACTAGAATGTGCATATAATAATTCAATAATTACAGTTATTATTTTTTTAAACTGCCAACAACTCAGTAACGACTTGCTTCCTATGACCTCATCAGCCCGTTTCACTCACTGCAGCATTTGCTGGTCTCCCACGTGTGTCAGGCACTGTGCCAGACCCAGAGCCTCGGGATGGATATAGCATGGGGGTGGGGTGAGGGCAGAGGGAAACAGGTGTGCTTCTTTTACATCTAATACATGTTTGGATTTTTAAAAAATTGAATTGGGCAAAATTTTAAAAATTGTCCCCATTTAGAAATCCGAAGATTTCACATTAAAATGCTAGGCTTCTCTTAAATTTAGAATATCTGGCCTTACTGGGCCTGCATTCCCTCAGGGCAAGAATCTGCTTAAACCCAGTGCTTTGTGCACCTTTACGTGAGGCCTGCTCTCTCCAGTTGGTCGTGGTCTTCACTGCCCACATCAATGGTGTGTGTCCCGTCTCACTGGTTTATCTCCTGTGGGCATTGACTCTGACTCCCCACCTCCACTAAGGTGGGGGGGATGCAGAGGAGGTGATGAGCACAGGAGATGTTAACGAGAGGGACTTGAGAGAGCTTGGTGACCACTTAGTGAGGGGGGATGGACAAGGAGACTCGGATAGATAATGATGTCACTAAGACATGGAACACAGGAAGAGAACATTGTTTGCGGGAGAATGATGGAAAAGGTAAAGTTTCAGTTTTGGACAGTTTGAAGTGTCTGTAGACCATCTGGAAAAAGATATCTAGATAGCAGTTGAATATATGGATCCTAGGAAAATGGTCAGAACTAATGATAAAGATTTGGCAGTCAAAGAGGTCATTTTTGCGGTCATTAAAACAATGATAGCTGATGAAATAGTGCAGGGAGGGTGAGAGAGTGAACTCTGAGGAGCATTCCTTTTTGAGCAGAGTAGAGGGAGTCTCTAGCAAGGGAGGCAGAGAAGGAGCATCCAGGAGAGGAGGAGACAGCCCTGGGGAAAACAGTCATAGAAGCCAAGGACCCAAGAGTTTCTGGACAAACATCACAGAGTGTCATATCTCGTCCTTCAGAGGCTGATCTTAGACACATACGGGAGTCCTGGGCTCACATCCCAGCCCTGTCACAGGCTTGGTGGGACCTTATGCAAGTCCTTAACTCCGGGCCGCAGGAACCACATCTGTAAGGAGGCTGGACCAGCTGATTGATCCCTAAGGTCTTTGAAGTACTAACATCCTAGGAGTCTTAGAAGCCTCTTCCTCCAGCTGGTTATCACTAATCCCTGTTCTACCTGAAGCTACGCAGCTGCAAGTGTGTTTGTGTGTGTGTGTGTGTGTGTGTGTCTGTGTTTCCATCACTTCTACATACAGAATGATATCGGAGGCTAGATTTTGTCAGTTCTCCCTACATCGAAAGGGGAAGCAAGCAACTGCTCTCTGAGAAAAGAACTTAAAGGAGACTCTACTGATAACTTTCCCAATTTCATAGATCAGTTATAACATGCTCATGAATTTTCCTCCTCTGAGGTTACTTCCAAAGTAAATTCATAAAATTGTGAGAACAATGATTTATGAAGGGACCAGTTGTTCTCTGGCAACCTGGACAAATCACTTCTCAGAGGGAGGATCTCCCCCCTGGTTTCTAACGTTTTATTAACTAGATTATGAGTGAATGGGGAAGCCTTTCTCCTGTATAGTAGGCCCTCAGTAAATGTGGATGGAAATGAACGTGTGTCTCAAATCATGCAATGTTGGTGTTTATCAATTGGATTAAGAATGGATGTCTCCACTCAACTAGAAAAAGGTTACATCTAAGAAGCAGAATTTCAGGTGGTCTCTAAAAAGTAAATGAGCCTTAGGGAAGAGGAAATGTCATAGGAAAAATATGTGGAAAGTGGCAGACTCTGGAACAAGAGTTGGATTGTTATGCAAGTTGAAAGACCACAAGATCAAGGAGGGAGGGTGGATACAAGTTATAACCGTCACAGCGTGTGGAGTTACACAGTTATTAATCTACACGACATATTGAGATGTTGCACATCCTCTTTCAATTGTTACCATCTGTTGCATTGCTCGCATGGGCAACCACATGTTACGCAAGAAAAGATAGAAGATCTGTCACCCTGCTCACTCCAGGTTCCATTAC